AGCACCTCTGCATCGCTCCTATGCCCTTGGCACAGCAGCCCAGTGGCCTTGGTACGCTTTCCAGCATTCCAGGACACTTGGGTAAAAAGAGGTAAAACTTGCCAGTTGTGTGAGTTGAACCTAGAGCCTTGTGGTAGTGCCCAGAGCGCTGCAACCACTCAGCTATTGTGTGTTGAGGTATACTTCTGCTTGTCTCTTGTTTATACCTTCACCACCTTCCTATTCCAGTATCTCGCGACTTTGCCCCTATTTCGCCTTTCTCTACTCTTTGGCTTACTATGGAGAACTCCGAGCTACTGTCCAGTTCCCAAACCTTATTTCTTTTCACCTATATAACCCTGGTGTCCACAGAGCGTCTCCTTACTTGCTCACTGTTGGACACCAGGTCAGTACCCTTGTATTTCGTCTTTATCAATACTACTTGCTCACTGTTGGACACCAGTGCCTCTTCTGAGTTTGATAGGTTGATGTCTGGATGACATGTTGGTATATTCCTAGGCTTTATAAACACAGAATACGATGACAGTTCTCATTGAAGTAATCAATGGTGATTGGTTAAAACAAAGAAAGAGCTTGACAAGGTTGCCTGGGCCAGCCTTGAACTGCAATGTGGACTGTGCACTTGCTGCCAGTCTTTGTTGCAAGTGCAAGCCTGGTAAAGACAGACAATGTCAGGCTTGGTGAGCTTGCAGCCCTGCAAGCCCCTGGCCTGCTACATCCAAGAGAGGCGACCTCTTGACCAGCTTCAAAGCTTCATCTGATTGGCAACTATGCCATTGCATGATCGCAAGTCCATTATTACCAATACTATCAGCCTCTCTCACCACAATCTCTTGCCAAAGCTGAGGGCATTGGAAAAGTAACAGCAGTGGATAACCCCAAATATTGATGTGCATGAAAGATTGCATTCTGCTTGACATACTTTTGCCTAGAGGCAAGCAAGCCCCTGAGATGCAGGACACTTCTATGTCCGTTTTACACCCTATGGTTGTGGGTTAATATTGCAATAATGCCACCAGAGGATGTCAGTTGTCCAGATTGTGAGGACAAGAGTAGAGAGAGGCAAGATGGGGCAAACTTGGGAGATACTGGATAAGGAAGGTGATGAAGGTAGTGCACACATGAACAGGCTCAATGAGCTCAGACTCGCCCTGATCCCTCAGCCAGTGGAAGCACAAGTCCAGCTGCTTCATCCTCCCATGGTAGTCAGGATTCTTGGCCACAGAGATGGCACTCCAATCTACAGCTTTGAAGGGCCAGACACAAGCCTGAAGTGATCGAGCACATCCTGAGTGTAGTGACACTGGGAGAGAGCTATGGTGCGCTGAGAGCGGTCCCTGTCGATCTTGATGCCTAGCAGCTGAGTGGTGCGACCGAGATCCCTAAGCTTGAAGCGCTGAGACAGCTCGGCGACGCAGCGATCCAGCTCTGCTTCAGACGACGAGGCGAGCGTCATGTCATCCACAAACACTGGGATCAGCACCTGCACACCTCCCCTGGTGAACACATAGAGTGCACTGTCAGAGTAGGTGCGCTTGAAGCCCATCTCGAGCAGAGCAGCATGCAGCTTCCTATTCCACATGCGTCCACCCTGCTTAGTCCCATAGAGAGGACGCTTGAGCAGGCATACCTGCTCCTTGCCACCACTGTGAAAGCCCTCTGGCTGACGCATATAGAGCGTGACATCCATGTCCCCTTGCAAGTACGCATTGGAGATGTCGACAGAGCAAAGGTGGAGGTCATGGATGGCAGCAAGGGACAGGATGAAGCGAATGGTGGAGAGGCGGACAGTGGGAGCAAAGACCTCGAGGTAGTCGAAGCCAGGACGCTGGGAGAAGCCTTGGGCAACCACTCGAGCCTTGTGACGCTCTATGGACCCATCAGCATTGCGCTTCAGCTTAAACACCCACCGACTTCCTATAGCCTTCTCCCCAGGGGGGAGAGTCACAACCTCCCAGGTCCCATTGGTCCAGTGAGCGCCCATCTCGTCTACACAGGCGTCATACCAGAGGGGATCCTGAGCAACAGCCTCAGCATAGGTCCTGGGCTCCTTGTAGGAATCACCCTGGAGTGCCAGTTCCCTGCCATAGGCCTCCCCATGCACAGCTAGTGCAGCGTCCGCGTCTTCAGCGTCCTCGTCCTCTTCCTCACTGTCTGGGACCACCTCCACCTGCTCATCCACAGGGACAAGCGGTTCAGCGGGCCCAGCAGGTGCAGGCTCAGCAGGGTACAAGCGAGGCTTGTCCAGCTTCCACCACTGAGTGGTAGCAGTCCTATCCCTGGCAGAACGACGTGTAGGGGCTTGAGGCGCAGGGACAGAGCGAGCACGACGAGGAGGAGTACTGGGGCGATCTGGAGGGGCTTGGCCCTCATCAGCATCACCAGGAGGCGAAAGAGAACGCGAAGGCGGTGGAGGAGGCGTTGGGGCACGGTTGTGAGCACCTGGGACGTCCTGAGGACGCTCCTGAGGCGCAGGCGGCGCAGGTGGAGCACCATTCTCCCCCCCATGGCCCAATGGCTCATCAAGCTCATCAGGAAGATAGACACCCACAGGGGGTGCAGGGGAAGGTGGTGGGTCGCTCCTAGGCCTAGAGAGGCCAGGGAAGTAGTGCTCATCGAAGTCAGCACGCTCTGCGATGACAGTGCGCTTGGTGGTGGGGTTGTAGAACTTCCAGCCCTTGTAGCCCTCAGGATAGCCAAGGAAGACGCACTTTTCCACATGGGAGCCCAGAGAGCGACGCTTATCCCTCTGCACATGCACATAGGCAGTGCAGCCCCGGACTCGGAGGTGGGAGACGTCAGGCTTACACCCGTGCCACAGCTGGTAGGGCGTGCCCTCAGGGACTGCCTCAGTGGGCAAGCGGTTCCACACATGCACCAGAGCAGCAAGGCACTCCCCCCAGAACAACTTGGGCAGGCCAGACTCGGCCAGAAGAGCAGTGATGCGCTCAGAGAGCACCCCATTGGCACGTTCAGCAACCCCATTCTGCTGAGGTCGATTGCAAACAGTGCCTGCGCACTATGCCACACTCTGTCAGAGTGCGCCCAGCACCTCTGCATCGCTCCTATGCCCTTGGCACAGCAGCCCAGTGGCCTTGGTACGCTTTCCAGCATTCCAGGACACTTGGGTAAAAAGAGGTAAAACTTGCCTGTTGTGTGGGTTGAACCTACAGCCTTGTGGTAGTGCCCAGAGCGCTGCAACCACTCAGCTATTGTGTGTTGAGGTATACTTCTACTTGTGTCTTGTTTATACCTTCACCACCTTCCTTATCCAGTATCTCGCGACTTTGCCCCTATTTCGCCTTTCTCTACTCTTTGGCTTACTATGGAGAACTCCGAGCTACTGTCCAGTTCCCAAACCTTATTTCTTTTCACCTATATAACCCTGGTGTCCACAGAGCGTCTCCTTACTTGCTCACTGTTGGACACCAGGTCAGTATTTCGTCTTTATCAATACACTTGCTCACTGTTGGACACCAGTGCCTCTTCTGACCCTGATACTGAGACGTGTCCTCAGGATCCTGACAAGGCTGAGGATGGAGAAGGCAGCTGGCGAGCCCTGTCTGAGGAACAGCGCATCCATGTCAAGGGCAAGGAGGATGACTCCATTGCTATGTGGGACGCTCTCCAGGCTGTGCATCAGCAGAAGATCCCTGGCACTCGCTTCAATGCTTTTGACGACTTCTTTGAGGAGTCCCTCAGCTCCCTCATTGCTAGGGTGGACACTTTGTCTCTGCC